CCCCGGGACCGGCTGCCGTGGCAGGGAAGGGGCTTGGCATGCCCACGGCTGCCTGGCACGGGTTATGTGAAGGCAGCTGAGCTCGCACAGAACCTGCAGGCATCCCGAGCAGCCCTGCCCATCCCGGGACCCCCAGGACCCTCACCATAGCAGGCTGACTTGCTGTTCTCGGAGGTGAAGTAGATGCCCTTGCCCACACGTCCACCTGAGTGGGGCGTGATGCGCAGCCCGCTCTTCAGGATGGCCGCGATCATCGCCACGTTGGTGCCATGCCAAAGCAGACGCCGGTGCTCCAGGAGGTCGTGGGCTTTGAAGCGCTCATCCTGGAGAGATGCAGAGGTAAGGGCTGTCCACGGAGGGAGACATGGGTGCCCAGGGGTGGGGATTGTCACCCAACCCCTGCAGCCTAACCCAGTGCCAGGCTGGAGAGGCAGGGGGGCGAGTGCTCGTTTGCCCCTGGCCAGCTGGGATCGAGACCCCCTGGGTGGAGATGCCCGGAGCCCTGTTGCAGACAAACTCCACCCTGGGGTGCAACCAGGGTTTCCCCACTGCAGGACAGGGATAAGCAGCTCCTTCTCACCTCACCATCTCGAGCCACCTGCCAGATGTTGAGGATGCGGAGTTTGTCCCCAGTCTGTGTCACGTTATTTTGGATCAGCTGCCAGAGAGGGAGGAAGGAAAGTGGTGTGACCACAGGCAGCCATCCCAGCAATGCCCACGGTCCCCCTGGGGCAGTGGGGACCTTTGGGGTGCCCACAGGCCTGGCACAGTTGCTCCCGTTCATGGGGCACCATGGCACAACTGGCACCTGGTATTCCCGGGAAGCCGGGTCCAGCAGGGAAAGCTGGCAGCAGAGCAGGGCATAATCCTGATCCAGCGGATGGAGGACTTCTTCCTTCTCCTCCTCCTTCACCTTCTGTGCCTGCAGGCTCTGTGCCAGCTCGATGTCCGCCAGCACCTGGCAGACACAGACCGGGGACATCCTCGCCGCTGGTGCTGGGCACCATGCTGGGGGGACCGGGGCAAGCCCAGCCTCCTGCCAGCACCTCCCTGCCCCACAGGCAGGAACCCTCCTTGGGGACGGACGCTACCCACCAGGTGCCCTGGCATCTCACCAACAGCATGTCCTTCTTGGCACGCAGCAGGTCGGGGGACTTGATGGGGGGTGGCTGTGCCCGCCCAAAGTTATGGGGGATGATGCTGTAGAAGCGGGAGGAGAGGTCCTCCAGGCGCGCAGCCTGGGGGGGCTGCTCCTGCAGCGCTGCCTCCAGCTCCTCCAGCACCTGGAAGCCCTTCGCGATCTGGTGCTTGCTCAGCAGCTTCTTTTTCACGTCTGGTCACGGGGACAGCGGAGGGTGGAGGTGAACCCATCTGCCTCACCTACCCCACAGCTACTTCCAAGAACCTCCAGCATCACCATGGGCATACACAGGCACCCAGCATGGGGGGGCCCACAGTCCCACCAGGTGCCAGGCTGTCAGCAGGGATGCTCTAAAATCCACTGGCACGCCTGCCCCATTCACGTCCCCAACTGCACCCCCTGCCCGCAGCCCCCAGACCCACCCCCATGCCACCCATCACCTCCTACCGATATTCATGGTCTGCATGGCATCCCGGAACATGTCACTGCTGAAGATGAGGGACACCAGGTCCTGCGTAGCTTTGTCCAAGGTGCAGGGCAGCACCCGCTGCTTGCAGACCTTGTCCCCATCCATGCCATCCACCTGCAGATTCCCAAACATCACCGCACTGCTTGTGCGCCTGTGGGAGACTGTGGGGACACGGCACCAGGACTGCCCGTCCCAGTGGGGAGAGCCTGGCCCCAGGCAGCAGAGCGACAGGCAGGTGCTGCCTCTGCTTTCCATGGCAGATACAATGCCACCCAGATGCCCGTGGTTCTCACTTGGGAAGCCCTCCCACTCCATCATAGCCCCAGATCTCTGCCTTCAGGCTGTTTCACCTTGCACCCAGACACCTCCCAAAACCCACCCCATCCTGCTGACCCACTTGGATGTCCTGGTGTCCAGTGGGCCAGGGGTGGGATGTGAGGACCACCCCACCAGGGTGACAACCCCAGATGCGCCACACACTCACCCTGAGGGCAACGTCCACCCCCTGCCTGGCTCCTGGCTGCACCTCAATGAGCGTGTACTTCCCCGGCTGGGTAACAAAGTTCTCCCTCGCTGCCCAGTTGTTCTTGGTCTTCTCCCGAAACTTCTTCTCAAAGGCCTTCTTGGCAGCCTCCAGGGAGGTGTAGGCCATGAGCTTGGACTGACCCACCTCCCCCTGGCAGTGGACAGCAGTGGTCAGGACCCCCCTGCATCCCAGCTCCACCAGCCCTGTGCCAGGGGAGCAGCCTGGGAGCAGGGGGGCTGTGGTGGCAGGGCTGCGGGGCAGCAAGCAGCAACGTGCACTAGCACCGGCTCTGGGGGTCCCTCCAACTCCAGGAGAGACCCCAGGGCTCCTTGCTGGGGTGTCACGTTCACTGTCACCACAGTGATGAGGTGCCATGTCCCCCAGCCAGGCTGACCCTGTTGTATGGAGGCAAGTCCTTGAAGCACCCCCCCAACAAGGGGTTATAGCAGGGCCACTCAGTTGCTCACTTTGGGACTGGGAACAAGGGATGGGGACCACCAGGTTCATGACCAGCCCTCGGGGGTCCCAAGGCAGGGTGAGGACAGCCGTGGTGGGGGAGACAAACAGCACCGGGGTGGACTCACCACGCGGCCCCACTGGGTCCGGACGCTGTAGTCACCATTATGCTCAAGGAGCTGGATGATGTAGAACTTGTTGCTGTTGGCGTTGATGTTGGTCTGATTCAGAGTGCAGTCATAGTCCTCATAGACCTAACGGCCCGGCCTAGCACCTGGGCAGCATTTGGGGATGGGGGTGTGTACAGGTGTCCCAGCAGGGACAGAGGGGACTCTGCAAGGAAAATTGGGGCTGCCTCTGTGTCAGCAGGGCAGGGACTGCCCTGAGAGTCCCCCATCCCTCCTGCCCATGTCCCCCCAGCCCAGCCCCATGGCGTACCCCAGCCCTGCTCTCACCCGGGCGCCCGGCACCGTGCTCAGGGGGCACAGCCCATCAATGGTGGAGGGGGGCGCCTCACT